TCGTTTCCAACCCTAACTATTCTATGATTATGATAATGTAGATATATCTGAAAAGAAATACTACTTGGACTGAGACATCACTCATACACAGAACACTTCCATTCTTGTGGGAGAGATGACAGTCATGCAGAACAAGTTATTCTAATAAAGATGTATTGACTGAACACAGTAGTGAAGTCAGCAACAAATGAGTGGACAGAAGATGTGTTGAACCTGTCCCTTGGAGTAACTGAGTCAGCAAAATCAACGTGCTGTCAGCACCCCTTTGGTTCTGGGCTGGGGATAGGACAAAATTTAATAAAAAGGACACAGCAGTAAAGATAAGTATGTTTTCAGAATAAAATATAAACAAATAGAATCTATTGAGAAATGAACAAACCAACAAAATCTTTCCCTCTTAAACTAGATCATTGTTCATATAAAATTTTTAACTTGCATGTGTCAGGTTGGATAGTTACAGATTAAGAGTGTGAATACAGGTTGTGTATAAAGCAGTCTTCTGTAAAAGTTGCTACACATAGCGATAGTTGGCTGTCAAGAAGTGAAGAGATGATCAAACCATGTTTTACATTTGTAGATTGTTTTCTGCTTTTTTTCTGCTCACACTTATGCAACAGTATTTTCTGTAATACACAATATATGGATCAGATTGTCAGTTTTGAATGTGTGTGCAAGCTAGATAACATGTGCAGCCTAACATGGAGCCCCACTAAGCAATCAGGACATTCACTTTGTTTTTCTTCTTATGCCTAGTAGTCCACAAATAATTCCTTCAAAATCAATAGGACACTTTCTGAATAAGCTGGAGCAGAGGCAAAAGACCAAAATCAATATTACGCTGACTAATCTGCAAAGGTTACAGCTTTCGTGACCCCCAAGCTGACCAGAGTAATAAAGCAAAAAGGGAATGACATGGTTTTGGTTTATGACAGGTATATTAGGATATTTTATGGAAGTGTGAATAGGTATTTTCTGTTTTTATTCTGTTCAAGTAATCTGAGATTCGTTTGAATCACTGGATTTTAATTTGCAATTTGATTCTGTTGGTGATTAATAGAGTTTCATTGGGACTATAATCTGAGGGCATGGGAGTAGAACAAGTGGTATTAAGGCATGATTTGGCTCCAGAGTTTTATAAAGCATCAGAAGAGAACTGTCTTTTTCCTCCATACATTAAGCAGAGTGTTTAAAGCTGGCATCTCAGAGAAATATTGTCTTACCTTTAAATGCACTTGTTAAGGAAATTTTTAAAGTACAGTTGCTCTACTACTGTCAGATTTCCTTTACTGCCATAGGTGTTTGTAAAGTTCGCGAATTCCATTAAAATCTCGCTGTTTTCTTCATGCGACTTGGCAGATGCAGAATATGGCAGAAACTGGATCCCTTGGCACAGCTTGTGTGAGACACTCACGTGAGTTACAAGCACTGCCAGTTTCTCAGTGGAGTTTATAATTTCCATTAACCCTGCAGAGATGGATGTGTGACTGTTTTCCATGGACACACTTGCACCCCCAAGTGAAACAGCCCCCCTGGTGCAAATACCAGACAAGGTGCCTTGGAGCATCTTGTACACTCTCATGGCACAGCTTGTGAATCTGGAATTGAGTTTCTGTGACCAAGGCATTGCTTTCCTTTTTGTTTGTTGAAAGCATTTTGACGAACAGAGCTTACAAGTTATGCTTGAAGAGCTAGCTCATCCTTAAGTTTTCCAAGCCATTCAGCAGGCTGTAGAAATAGGTTCTGGTTTGCACCAGAAAGGCTTGATTCCCAGAACACACAAGTGAAACTGCAGAGAATCCTGAAAGAGAGCTACTTGCTTTAATTGAAAATGCAAAGAAGTAGCTCGTTCAAGTAATACAGAACTGCCATTCACCATGGCTCTCAAATGGCTACAATATGCAAATGCATCTTGTTAGCAAAAGTGACAGCAGGTAATAAACAGTTGCAAATTTAACCTTTTCTTATTACATATGTCTTTCCCAAACTCTTCACTACCTTAATTCTGTAATTATTACTTCTGCAATTCCCCTACCTGACTTCTCCTCAGTTTTGCCAGCCGAACTCATTTTCTCCTCTTAACAAGGCTGAATATCTTTAGGTTGAGGAAACAACCCACCAACAAGTTCAATCAGGTGAAAATAGGGAAAATAGGTATTAATGGAAATTACCATCACCATCATTGCTGACGAAGTCACTAACTATGGCGTCACTGTGGTAGGTGGTATCAAAATCCTCAGGGCTACATAGCAGCTGTGCTTTAGTTCTAGAGTTCAGGATGAAGATGTGTTTTAAATTGTAGTATTTTTATGTTTAATATAATTTCTGTCCTATAAAGCATTTTGATTTTGAAGTTCTAGGGAAACTAATAGATTTGTATGGATTATTTATAGATTCAGTGTTCTGCTGAATTACAGTTCCAATCTTTAAGCAAAAGCATAAACAAAAAAACATTTTCTACAAAATTGAATTTACTTATGTTGAGATTTACTGAAGGAAAGTGGTGCAGTAAAGAGTGTGTTACTGACTTGTAAACATTTTCCAGTTCAGAGATTCTTTTCATTTCTGCTTTTCTCATTTCAGAAACTCAGTATTGTGGTATTTACCTAAGTTGATTTCTTAAATGATATGTATGTAATTTTTTTTCTTCTGGTAACAGTGCAAAAGTATTTTTATCATTAGTTTAATTTCAATCTGCTTTATATATTGGCTGACTTGCATGTCATCAGTGGCTTACTTAGCAGGTTTTCAAGAATGTGAAGAATAAAATTTGTTGCTAATTTACAATTAAGATGACCTTCAAGTCATTGTAGAAAATGAAAAACGCTAATTTATGGTCCTACAAGGAGATCTGTGCAACATCAGGATCATGGGCAACAGTCCATTTTGTGCAGTGTGATCAGATTCTTACAATTTTGTAACTTTTCCTTAAATAGTGAATATTTTTAATAGATATTATCTTAGTAGCAAGATAAAAGGAACACCAAGAACCATCTGTGTGTGTTTTCCTTAGCAATTATCCAACCTTGTGTTCCGCTGTCCAAAGCACTTTAAGGAGTCTTCTGAAATTTATGGCATGTGAAAGGCATATAGTTCCACTCTTTTACAGGATCTGAAAAACACATTTTCATTGTTCTTCCACTTCATGGATCAAAAGGCTTTTACAAAGTAAGAAAAAGAAAAATCCCTAAATTAAATTAAAGCTTAACATTTTGAATAAAAATCCTTTCTTATACACAAAACAAAAAGAATGAAAAATATGCCACAGGGTAAAAAGCCTACAGTATAACAAATGAAATCAGATAGAAACAAAAGACTGAAAGAAAATCCAGATTTAATAGAAAGTGCATTGTGGAAAAAAAACCCAGACACTACTAAGCGTTTCTGTCTGGGAGGTAGGTAAAATAAGTGTTTACTAAAAGGAATTGGTATTTTATTATTATTATGAATTATTCTGTAAAGGAAAAAGATTATTCTTCTGATACACATGTGCATATATTTTCATCACATCCTGAGCAGATAAAAAATACATGGAGAATAATCTTTTTATTAAATAAGACTTTCATGTTTTTCTAAAGGTTGTTTTTATTCTACTTTGCAGAATAGCTGGCTTTGTTTTCTGGCTTTCTTGACTCATCTCTGAAATTTTTGTTTGCCATGTTCCACATTTACTATCTTTCAGTCCAGGCTGACATACAGGTTGATGTTACAAAGGGCTTAATACATCTTGTCAAATTTCGGACACACTTGGGTGTTTATAGCTTTTAGAGTCAGAGGGAATTTATTTTTATTTGGCTTAAATTCCAGGTGGGAGAATTGTTATCTGTTTCCTGTCCTGAACAAGTATCCTAAGGGAAACAAATGCCATCAGTTTAGATTTGCAGCTAAAAAAATCATAATAGCAGAGAGTAGTTTCTAGAATATTCTCTAAACTTTACAGTGAGGATGCTGTGGATTTAGGTTAATGGCAACATTCATAGGTTTTTTATAGTTTTTGCTTAGTGAATAAGTGAATGTTGTTCTGAACACAAACGCTGTCAGAAATTAAGATTGTTACAAGTAGCATCTACATGGCTATGACTTTTCCTATCCTTATCAACTATTAATTAAAGATCCATAAATTATTATACAAGTTTAGTTTTGCGTAGACCAAGGTACATGATGCCTTAATGTAATACAAGACCTATTTGGCTGTCTTAATTTTCAATATTGACCTATTTTACTTGCACTGACTATACTTGCCTATTAGAGGTGGTTATTCCCTGATAATGCAAGTCACTTGTGGGCCCTCTTAGAAACATTGTATCTTCTGCTCCAAAAGACTGGAGTAGATTTTAAACAAGGCATGTTACAGTTGGGCAACTTTTAGCTGTAGATGGTGGTCATTCGTGCTCCTTGGTGGACCTCATGAATGTCCCTGCTGGGGATTTGTGGTCTAGTTCTGCAAGTTAAAGTACACAACAGAAAGTTGCCTCTGCACCAGAGAACCTGTGGTTGAAGGAAAAGAAAAGAGGAAACACATAGGAGATGAGGAAGGAAGCAAACACTGATAAATGGCCGTGGCAGGTAGTGGTTTGACATACTTGCTGCATCAACTTTTTGCGGACTTCACAGGAAGGAGGAGTTATAAGGTAGGGATATAGGAGGACATCATGGCAGTTTTCTTGCTTTGGGGAATGGAGAGCTGTGCCAAACTGTAGAGGCAAATTGAGGAGTAGCAAGGAAGATTATAGTCTGAGAATGCCACAAAGTTGCTAATGTCATGGGCGATGTAAATGTGGGGGTTGATATTTGGATACTGGATGAGAAATGATAGATGAAGGATACACCGTAAAGGAGATGAAAGGACAAGGCAATAGAGATCTGAGAGTCAAAGGAGGGATGCAAATGAAAGCACACAGATTAAGACTTGCCCTTGATGTGACAACCTGGAAAGGAAGTAAGATCAATCAAAGATGATGTTGAAGTTATAGGCAGCTTTGGTTATACATGCTGTAGCAAGGAAAACTTTCACTTACCAAAGGCTGTGGCTCCTTGAACCTATCTCTGGAAATTATGCTGGAGTTGTGAGGAAACAGAGAGAGGAATTCTGCATGTTTACCACTGTTTGCTTATTTTATACTTCCCAATATTTCATTCCAAGTGAGGAAGTGTTCACTGTGTTTCTGCTGTCAGAGGTGCAGATTTTTGTTTTCAGTTGTTTTAAAAGACCATAAAAATACATAAGCCTAATACTGCGGTAAGAATCTTTCGTTTTGGCAGCAGTGGTACATATTTCCAAAAATACACAGTGTTTCTTACAGAAAGATGTGTATGCCAGAATAAAATGTCATTTTGTTGTCTTGGTGCTGCATTCAGACAGCTACAAAAAGATAGCAAGAAAAATAAATCTTAGTTTTGCTGTGTTTCTTTGCTTCAACCTCCCCATTAGCAAAAAAAGAAAGACAAAGATATCAAAAGAAAAGCATTTCAATACATATTGCTTAGCCTGAATATCATGTTATAAAGGAAACTGTAGCATACTTAAAAGATAGTAGTTGTGAGTCAGAAGTTCTAGGGAGGTTTTTCTTCTGAAATGTTCTTTGACTTGATTTGATAGCCTTATTTTGTTCTCATTATAGGGCATTCTTTAGAGAAGTACAGAACTGTAGGTGATCAAGGTGGGTTTGTCAGAAATAAACTCATTTGCCCTTTTTTTGGTTGCCTTTTAATGAAATCAATGAGGAAAAAAAAAAGAAAAATGTCAGGAAAAAAACTAACAATTATGTGACCACATTTAATTAAAAATGTCTTTGTTTATAAGGAGCAATAAAAGAGTTGTAAAATTCTTCAGATGTGCTTCAGATTGTTATAAAAATTCATACCTTGTGCTATAAAATATCAGTGCTCCCACCATTCTAATTTGCAAATCACCAGCTGGTCACAGAACCATATACATAAAACCACATCTAGCCCAGCAGAATAACAATGTACCTTGAAATTATTATACTAGGAGATACAGAGCTTTACATCTTCAAAGATGCTGTATAAGGCCCCAAAATGATAGCAGTTTGCATCACGGATTATTTCAATTTCTTCTCGGCAGTGATTTTTGCACCATTGAATCCTTGAGCTTCTGTATGTATCTAAAGTTGTTGTTTGGCCGTCAGTTTCAGTGAGCGTTTCTTTACGATGATAGACCATATTGTCTTAGAGTTTCATACCATACATGCTCATTTGAAATGAGGGTTTATATAATGCAGTGACTTTATTCCCAAAAGCAAACTTGTACTTTCACTGAAGTAGCCTTTTGAGAGAAAAGTTCTCTGTCCTGTATCTGTAGCATTGTGTGATGTGCACAGCAGGCACTGTAATTACAAAAAAAGATATTCCCAGATGAACAGACAAAAAGAAAAACAACAAGATGTGTCATTAATACCATGGTGTTTGTAAAACATTCAAATTGATAATTTTTTTCCCCAACAGTGTAAGGTGAAGGCAGAAAGGACTCTGCAAGTCTACTATGAAAGCTGATAGGGGATAGTACAGCTAGCTGGTTCTGCTGTTTAAACCGGCAAAACCTGAGGATGAATATAACATGTGAAAAGAGGAAGAATTACTTCCGGAAGGAAGGTGCTCTGTGTAAAACAGAGCAGCATTAGGCCAGTTCTGTTTGATCAACACAGAAAGTTAACTTTGCTTTACTTAATTGGGTTTTGCATTTCTGCATGATTCAAACTGTTCCCAGGAGTTACTGAGGCTGAGATGCTTTGTCTTTGCAATGGCGTAAAAACCATTCTGAATATGGGGCTCTTGTCTATACTTTGCTTCCCTTTCAGATATACCCTGTCCTGAGACAGATGATTTACAGCCCCAAATCTGTTCAGAAGCCAGAAGCTTACAGTCTTGCATGTGCATGCATGTAGTGTTTGCATATGTGCGTGTGTCTGTGACCTTGGTCCAGTGAGGACAGTCAGAGCAGCTATTCTGATTAAACTCCAGCTGACAGTCTGTAACCTGACGATAGTCATTAACTCAAAGACTATCTCATTCCACCAGATTAACAGCTGTGTGAGTTCCAGCCCAGCTTTCTTAGTGTCTGAATACTAGGAAGCAACAGAAATAGTCTGATGTAATAGTTCATAAATTTAGCCTCCAAAACTAATTAAAAATAAACCAAACTTGCCACAGGAAACATTTCTACCCTTTGCCCTCTTCTTTTTTAATATTAAACTGGATTTACTATTATAGAAAAATCGGTTTCTGACAAATCACTTTAATTTCCTATGGGGAACATTATTGATTATCAGTCAGGGCACAGAGACGTAAAGTATGTGATTCATCCATCTTGTTCAAAATTATAATTTATTCCCATTAATCCTGCAAATTTCTCCATGGTTCTTCCCCTAACTCACAGATAGATGCCAGGCTGGTGACAGACTTTCGTGAAGCACTATCGTGCAGTTGTACTATGGTTTTGTCCTGGTGGAATGCTTCACAGTTGTGCTGTAGTGAAAAATTGCACAGTCAGCATTTGTTACCCACCTGGCTGTTGCCAGGGGAATGGTCATGAGACTGGAAATGCTATCAGCAGCTGTATTGATGTTTTTTATTTTAATGATTTCCTGCAAACATGAGAAGATCACACCAGGAAACTAATATATTATTATGTACTGTGTGGTACATGCTCTTACAGTAAAATAGTTGAGAAAGGCTCAAGTTCACAGACATAGCATGTGAATGTCATTCACCCTGGATGTCAGTAAATCTTTAGGAGACAGTCAGGCACATCTTGGGGGGCAGACTGGGCATGGGGTTGTAAAAAGAGCAGAGGGAGTGAAAGTCCTCCACCGCTTCACAAATGAAGAGGTTTCTAGCAAGGCAGTTTTGGTGCTTGGGTGTTGGCTGCAGTGGCAGATGCACAGTGGTAAGTGTTTCTGGCCTGTGTGGCTCCGAGACTCATTATGCTGGATCTTCAAGCAGCTAATATGAACGTTGTTGCACAGCACCAAATATCCCGTTTCCAGTAACTGGTGGAAGAGCGCAAGCTCTCATTTAGCAACCAAGATTAAGTCTTTTGCCTGTCGTGTTTTTATAACTAGATCGTGTATAGGCCACATTGACCCTTTCATGAGCTCTGCACTGGAACACTCCTGCTCTGGCAATGTCTGAATTGTTCTGTTTATCAGACATGCCAGGACAGGTTTTTTTGTTGTTGTTAGTGGGTTTTGTTGTTATTTTGTTTTGTTTGTTTTAATTTTATAATTATTCCGTTAGGAATCGCTGAAATTGAAATTGTCTATTTTGTCTGGAAGCAGGAGGACGACTGTTAATCTGAAAACAGACTAATGTGTTAAACACAAAATAAAATGTAAGGGTGTCTGCTCAATCAAGACAGACCATGTGAATGTCTCAGACGTCTCACCACCCATACATGTATTTATATATATCCCAAAATAGCTAGTTTCCTGATAATTTGAGGACTGGTTAAGCATGAGGCTTATACTTTCTATTCCATGCAGACATGTTAAAAATAAACATATAGCAGTTCTGAATGAATGTGAGTTATAATGGGGAAAGCCAACTTGTGAGATACTGTGTGTTGCAGACAGCAGTGCATTGTCCAGAGCAAAATCCACAACGTATTCAGAGAGAGGCCAATAATAAGACGGGCAGTTGTTCTGACAGTTTGACAGTATTACTGGGCGTTTATAATAGATACAGTACTTTCTGTTGCTCTCTATTTTATTGTTTTTAGGTGCTTGGAATATATCCATTATAGATTTATGTTCTAGTGACCTCTCCTGGAAAAAAAAGTCTTAAGGAGTAGGTTCTTTAAAAGACCTAATCCCTTTCTATTTGTGTAGCCTGAGTGAACAGCTCCTATAGCTGAATAGTGCCTGCCTTGAGGAGGATTCTTGAATTACTTTGCATTAGTCTAGGAAAGTGTGCCTGTTTTCTGCCTGGCTTTTTTGCCCCAGGAGAAGACTGGGAGAACAATGGTTGTCAGTCTCCCAGAAGAGAGCCAGTTGCTGCAATTGAGGCTTTCCCGTTGTACTGCTGTTACCAACAGAACATAAAAATAAAATCAGATCATTTGACCATATGATTAGCATTCCTGTTGAACTCTAAGTGACCTTAATCTTCTGTCTCTTTAGAGAACCCCAGTGTTTTTCACTTAAGAAAAATATCTTCCTTAGCATTAAGGTTTTTCTTTTGATGCTGAGATAACCGCTGCCTGGTTTGCTTGTAGGGTTTTAATGGGCTTCATTGGGGCAGACAAGAAGAGATGTTTTTGGATGATCATGGAGATACATTGGATAACCAAATTTTTAATATCCAGATTAAATTTAGCTATATAATCTTTAATTTCTATTGCTCAGTGGAACACTTCTTTTGTTTTCTTTCACCCTGTCAGTATATTGCAAGATTGAAAGGAAATACTTCTATTTCTGTAAACAAGTAGGAACCTCTGAACTGAAATAAAATCATAATTTTATATTGAGTAAGCTTTGCAATTTCCTTGTGAGATTCAAGCAGTTGTTTATGGATTTAGGCTGCATTTTTTTACTTTTTTAAGTTTGCAAGGCCTTTCTGTGTAAATGGAAGCTTACTGCAACCGTAACTGCTAGTCGATGGTAGAGAGTCATAATGAAGTTTTGATAATGAAGGAACTAGAATCTGCATTTACTTCACAGCTTAAGAAGTCAATTTGTGTGCATATATTAAGTTCATTCTGCCTGCTAAGATCCTTGAGGACCAAGGAGAACTAGGGATATACTACATGACTATTTCCATTTTGTAACTTTTTTGGTTGGTTGTTTACAGTTGACTCATAGTATCTTCAGTGCTGTAATATGAACTATTATGAAACTGCTGTAACTTTTTCCTTCAACCCCTTCAGCATGTGACAGTGACCACTGGGGACCTCACTGCAGCAGCCGCTGCCAGTGCAAGAACGGAGCCTTGTGCAACCCCATCACTGGAGCCTGCCACTGTGCATCAGGTTTCAAAGGCTGGCGCTGCGAGGAACGCTGTGATCAAGGAACATATGGAAATGACTGCCATCAAAGATGCCAGTGTCAAAATGGAGCCACCTGCGACCACGTGACTGGAGAGTGCAGATGTCCTCCTGGATACACTGGTGCCTTGTGAGCATTGGTATATTATTTGTGGGGGAAAGATGTGAATCTTGAATAGTGCTAACAAGACAAATGAAGTTTAGATTAACTTTTAATACTCTGCTGTTAGTTTGGCTGCTGTGTAGTGCAGGGAAGCGGGGCTGGTGGCTAAGAAGCAGTTGGGCACACTGTGTTGCAGTGCATATTCACACGTGTACCTGAAAGCCCTCTTAATCTGTACGTCTAAGTAAAAGCTGCAGAAAGTAGCAGCAGGAGGTTTGTCATGACCACATGAAAATGGTTTGGCTACAAGTTTGGAAAATCGCATTGAAACATAGAATTATTTGGCTTTGTCATTCCAGAATAGATTTTGAGCTTTGTCAGTAACAACGAATGATCATCAGCCACTGTAGAAAGAAATATCTTTAAAAAGAAATAATTCCTAGATTACCAGGTGTGTTTCCTTAGTTTTGTTGCATGAATGCTCTACAATATTCAGCATGCGTCTCTTTCTGTTGGATTGCTTTCTGTTTTGTATTTTTGGCTAGAAAAATTAACAATAGCATTAAAAATAGAGAGGTGGCTGGAGACTGGAGTGTGTGCCAAAGTAACAGTTGTCTCTGTTGTACACCACCACCTCCCCAGCTGCGAGGACCTCTGTCCCCCCGGGAAGCATGGGCCCCAGTGCGAGGAGAGGTGCCCCTGCCAGAATGGAGGCATCTGTCACCATGTCACCGGGGTGTGTGCCTGCCCACCAGGATGGACGGTAAAAACACTTCCCAAAATCAACAGTACCTTGTAAAACTTCCTTATTTGTAGATTTCAGGCAGCACCAGAAAAGGGTAGCAAATGAGGATAGAAAATGCAGTCTGCCAGTTGCCAGGAGTAATGAGAAACGTATTATAAAGGACTGGAATAAAATACTTGCAAAACCATCTGTTACTGAAAATCCTCCAGTTTTGTGCTGGCTTTTTAACTATCAGATTCTGGGAAGCAAAATATATGATTCATACTGTGATGAGGCAACATTGTTTAGGTCTTGTCTGGAAGTCATTAATTTCGAGATAGAAGTTGATATTATAGGGAGGTGACACTGTTACATGTTTTAGCACTGGGTTTTGTGCCTGTTTTCATATGTATAGTGTGCACAGCAAAAACACTGAACCTTTAAATACTGTGTTAAATGTTGCTGTTGGAAATGGGACATCAGAACTTTGGCATTATCTTTAGACTTTCTAGCCTTTTGTCGGTAGGTAGAGAAAGAAGAATTTACCTTTGATTTGCAAATAGCCATCTCTACTACCAGGCAGCCAACTCCAAGCTGGAAAATAATGGAGTTGGAATATGATCAAAAGGCTGGAGGGTGATCAAAGCCCAAATAATTTCTTTACATACTTTCACAGGTAATATTGATCAATAGTATTTGTTATTTTTTTTTTAATGTTCTTTTGGGTGAAAAATCCACATTTACTGAGCTTTTAATTATCTCATGATAATTGAGATATTACATTGAGATAACCTATGGCAGAGGTCAGTTTTTCACGAACTAGAGAGCATAGGTATAAATGATTGTCTGTGTTTGAATAGCACCACAGATCTGACTACCTAACTTGGCTTATGGCCATTTTTATTTTTCATTCCACTTCATGTTAGAAGAATGAAATTACTGGTTATAGAATACAAATTCTTGCATAAATTCTCAACTCCCTTTATTTGCCTAAATACAGGTAATGTAAAATGGGAGAGCATGTGAAGCTGTGATGGAAATTTTATACCAGTGTGTGTCTTAACTAATAACTTACTGCTTAGCCCTGTGGCTAATTTTCCATTCCAACTAGTTACTTAAGCATGGGTCCTTAGATTCAGATTTTGTGAGTCTGTGAAACACAATTTTGTCAGTATAACCTTTTTTGCTTTACATGTAAGGAAGGTTTAAAGTAGCCAGGTATAAATTCTGCAGCATCTTATGTTAGCTGAAATACCAGCATGTATTTTTGTCTGATAAAATGCCAGTAAATGTTTTTCTTTAAATGGCTTCTTGAAAGTCTTAAGATCTGATGCTCCCCTCGCTACACAGGTGTAACTAATTCCAAGGATGTAAGTTGCAGTGCAGAAATTCAAAACCCATCGAAGGGAAGCAGGCATCCTAACAAGCTTTTAAGATATGCTCCTTTAAATGAAATTACAAACAGCTTTTCCTTTCATCAGAAAGAAACAACTTACCACAAAGTAGTATAATTGGGGCATTACAGCAATTACTGATTTCTACACCTCTACTTATTGGAGGGCATTTCTGGATGTCTTGATATATACTACTCCTGATAAATAAATTGGTAAGATCTTGACATCAATTAGTCTTAAATGTCTAAGTGTTTACACTGTTGCTTAGAGATAGTGTTTTTCATTAGCTTAGGCTTCCAAATGGAAATCCTAGAAGATTATTCCTCCAGTGCTGAAATATAGCCCATGTTTAAAGCTAGAAAAGATTCTGGCATTTCCGAGATGAGCGCTAGACAAGTGACACAAGATCTCCTTGATCTTCCTTGATTACAGACATTACTTCTTTGCCCATTCAAGCTGTAATCCCAAGTCTAATATTAAGATATTTTATTTTCTGCACACGCAGGGCATGGTCTGTGGTCAGCCTTGTCCTGAGGGTCGTTATGGGAAAAACTGTTCCCAGGAGTGCCAGTGCCACAACGGAGGGACCTGTGACTCAGCCACAGGTCAATGCCATTGCAGCCCAGGTTACACAGGGGAACGGTAAGGAAAACTTATTTTTACTGGACTGTTGAACTTTGCAAGGGATCTGCTATGGCTGGTAGAAGCTGACAGAAAGCAGAATGAACATACCTGTGATACTGTTAAGAGTCCTATGAAATGTTTGCCATGTCACAGAGCTGACACTGGGTCACAAGTTAAAAGTGCCTATGTGATTAGTCTTCTGTGGGGAACTGCTTGGTTTCAGGATTTTCCTGCTGTGGCCCATACTCTGGCAGTGTCTTGTGGGTCTTCACTTAAGTGGTTTGCAGAATGACGCAGTTTGGGGTATGGTGAAGGGATGAGAAGGGAAGCTTTTGGTTTTGTGCAGATGTTTGGCATTCGTAGTAGTAGCAGAGGAGGCTCATACGATTGTTCAGACTGAGCAGACTGGAGAGTTGTTACCTGAAGTATTTCATTCAAATGAAGAAGTGAAACTTCTTTATTTACTGACTTGATTTGTAAAAAAATCACCTTTGGTTGTTTGGAAAGGTAGCATTGCAAGACATAATCTTTGAAGGCAGTGGAAAGTGACGAAAGAAGTGTTTTCCTGCAAGTATTTTAAACAGCACGCAACTCAATTGCTGAAGTCAGCAGCAGCTTAATCACTGGGGTCAGCCACGGGACCTCTGCCAGCAATTTCTAGGTGTTACAACCATATGCACTTCCCACACAAATGTTCACAGGACATGGGGAGGGCTGTACCAGTCATAAGGGGAAAAAAAAATCTCATGAAGAAGAGAAACAATTAGTCGAGAGCCATTTGGATGCCAGAATAAAATTTGCGTCTGTGAAGAAACAGTGCAGACAGTAGTAGAGACATTTAAACAGATGCAGACAAGTCAGCAGGGAAATTAAAGGAATATCCGTATGAGAGTCTATGCACTGCACTATAATGGTGTTTCTAAAAGCAATTAAATTTTTTTTACTTGGAATTTAAATCTGACTTTAATCTGAAGTGCCTTACAGGCTGCAGCACATTGATCACTTTTCCAAGTCTGAGCTCCTTCTTTTCCTGCAAAACAGACTGTATTTGCAATTCCTTTGTTTTTCAAGATATTCCAAGGACAGGAATGGGTCAGAAGCAAGGTTTTAGACCTGGTTCTTATTTCATGTCAGTGGACTGGCAAGGGATCCCGGGTAGGGTTAAAAGAAACGTGTGGGCTTTGGCTGAGCTAGCACTTACATAGAGCAGCAAAAAGGATGTTTTTTAAAACTGCTAAACTCTTCACTTCTGTGTGTAACCACAACATTATTTGTCTGAGATTTCAGTGTGGAGGTGACTCCTGGAACTTCATAAAGCAAGAAAAAGAGGACTCCTAGAGCATGTAATAGTTTCTAGGGTTAAGACAAGTGAATCTGGTTTAAAGTGCCTTTATAATTCTTCTGTCTAATACTTTTTGGATTATGTCTGTCCTCACCATAAAGTGGAAAAGGATCTTTCAGAAGATACAACAAAAATAAAATAAAAGTTACAGTGTTAAATTTGTCTAAGTTGGCTGGGATTCCTGATTGTCATTTGGAGAAAATTCATTCTCAGCTTTATTTGCATAACTTCATTAGGAAATGTTTAAATAGGGTTATTAGCTCTATTATTATGCTACATCTCTGAAGGAAAGGGGATATTATTGCTGGCTTCAGTCAGGGCAGAGTTATGAATACCTTGAAACTTCTGGATAGCAGCATCAAATTGAGGCAGTTACTGCAGAAGTGTGAAATGAACGTGTATACCTATTTTATATCAGTCAAAGGGCTCTGCTAAATTCTGTACATTTTGCAGTGACTTGTATCATGTCTTGGAAAATCTCCTCTAATAAACCACCAATCATACAAAGAAACCCACCTGAAAACAAACCAAAAAAGACAACTATTTAAGAAAAATGGGAAGACACCACAGAAATTCTTTTATAGGACTGGGGAAATGAGCAGATTATAAGGTGATAAAACCATTAATAATGTGCTGTATTATTAAGTAGTGTTTTTGTACAATCTGTAACTTATTAAAACTTACAGGTACACAAATTGGAGAAGATGTTTTGTGCCCCATATCACCCATTCAGTTCCCAGCACACTTCAGGACTTCAGTGTCAGCATGTTCTGGCCCTAAAGCTTTGGGATTTAGCTGGTTTGGTTTTTTGTCTATGTCAGCATAATTCAGAGTTTATAGGATGCTTATATTGAAAAGTATGAGGATTTTCCCTGATACCTAAGCTATGAAATGTTGTCATCCTTAGCTCTGAGAGAGAAACCTGTTGAGCTGAGAGGTCTCGTACATATAGTCAAATGTTTTATGTGTGCTTAGAGGTGGAGCCTTTAGTAATGCTGTAGTAGTGCTGCCATTCCAAATTTTAACAATTCAGTTACAAAAAAAAAAAAAAAAGAAGTTAAAGCTGAAAACATCAAGCTCGTATTATATCTCTTAAATACATAGTCAATGAAATTGCTGTCTGGAAACACTTTAGTAAATGAGTTTCAAGTTTTAGAAGCAGGATACTGAAAATTGTCTTTTTAGTCAGGCTGGTCAGATAAACATACAGTGTGATCTTTAACTTAAATGATCTCTTTCATATGTAAAACATTAAGAAAATAAGACTGTTACCTGAAGTAGCTGTCTTTTAAAATCTGTGTGAATGAAAGCAGAGAAGTTTGGTGAAGAAGTCTCTTTATTAGGATAAATTTTCCTTATGGTGCAACAAAAATCACTGCTATTCTCCCATATGTTTTTTTAGTAATTTTCACTTTAATCTATCAGAAAAGTCAGCTGAAAATAATGGGTTTGTATTCCTGAAGATTTTTCCATGTCATGCTGTGAATTTTTGAAGGTCAAAATAAATACATAAAAAATGTTCAGAATGAAATTCTGAAAGAAAGGTATTCTGGAAACATCATGTGTTTGGAAACACAGTTAGAAAATATTCTCATCGGAGACTGCTGAGCATGATTGCCAGGGAACTTCCTGGCCTGAGCATCTGCAGGAGCACGTGGTCTGCTGGCTGTTCACGCTATTGCCAAGTGAAGAATCTAGATCACTTAAAAAAGTTACAGATGGATGGCTTTTGAAACTAAATACTTGAAAATTTATTCTTTCATACTTCAGGTTTGATTTAAAAGCATTTGGTTTTGTTCTGGTTCCTGAATATGAAGTGCAAATGTCTGTGTATGCAGGTTGTCTCATTTGTTGAAGGGAGACCTTTTCCAAAGGAATTTGCAAAGCCAATGTTTTTAAGCCTGTCTAGCTGAACAGCAAAAGAAAGCAGAGACAGGCACTTTTGAATATGAAGTTATGTTAATTTCTGCTTTACTTAAGAGGCATTTTAGACCAGTGTAAGAGATTCCTCAAAAACTGTATTTCCCTTCAATCTCCAAAAGCGGTAGCCTGTGGGAAATAAATTTTATGTTTGTTTGTTTGTTTGTTTTTCTCACAGATGCCAAGATGAATGTCCAGTGGGGACTTACGGAGTGCAGTGTGCTGAGACCTGCAAGTGTGTGAATGGTGGGAAATGTTACCATATTAGTGGTGCCTGTATCTGTGAACCAGGATACACTGGAGAGCACTGTGAAACAAGGCTTTGCCCTGAAGGAATTTATGGTCTCAAGTGTGATAGAAAGTGTCCCTGCCACATGTCTAATACCTGGAGGTAGGCTTTACAGGCTTTAGCCTGTTTCCTTTTTCTACACAGAGAATAGAAATCAGACTATAATCTGCAAATAAATGTTTGCTGATTTTTATAGTACTCTCATACAAACTGAAGCAGTATTTGGTATTCTCTAACCATATCAAGAAAGAAAATACCAACCCAAAAGAGCTTCTGAATTTTAGTGCTTGCAGCTACATTTGATCTTAATATTCACTGTTGTATTTGGTCTCTGACCCATGAAATAAACATTAAGATGAAGTGTGACTTTTGTCTATATTTACCACATGAATAAATCATTACATTGTTCACCATATAAAGTCAGTATACAATCATATGTCTCTAGTATATTCTAGTGTACTGTAGATGAGAACTTGCCTTACAAGTTGGGTGTGAGAGGAGAATCTATTTCTCTCTCTTTTTCTCTCTATGTATACATATATAAGAATATATAAGAATAGGTGTAGGTGACTATTTTAATAGAAAATTTCCAAAGCCCTACCAATTGTAAACCTAGATTGGAAAAATACATCTTATGAAATTTCAATGATTTTTCTAGAAAGCAGGTAAAATCTGATCCCTGGAAATCAAATGAAAATAGTTTGCCAATTAGCTTACCTTTTATTATCTCTTCTTATCCAGGTGGTAACAAGTCCTATTTTTTGAGTTTTGTGTGTCTTTGTGGATTTTGCAGTGTTTCATTATGTTGTTTTGAAAAATTGGATACTAGCTTTTTGCAGGCAAATTTTCAACTGTGAGGGAGGAATGTCAGATGTCAGTTGAGGCAATCCAACATATTTATAGAACAATTCTGGACAGCTTTCTTCTGTTACAAAACTCAGTTCTGATGAAATATTTTGGTCATTGTTCATTCACTTACACTTAATTGCATTCCTAGTCACAGTACCTTTTATTAGGTTTGTGAGCATTATCTAAATTTTTGCTGTTGCAAATAGCTGTGAAAGAAATTTGCAGGAACTGTTGACTGTTGCGTAGAATACTGCTATATGTTGTATATACGATGCCTTTTTCTTCATAGATAAACCAAAAGCCTTTAGCCAGAATTTAGCAGTGATGTTAAAGCACTCAAGCACATACATGGAAATATCTATGCTGTTAGGCCTCTGTGAAAAATTACTTGTGGATTGTCTGAGTTGTCCAACATACCTCTCATTGACAAACAATGTTGACAGCGAACAATTTTTTTCCGTTTCCATTCATATGCTTTTACAGTTGTGTGCTTGTGCTTCTGTTTATCCCATTTACTTGACATGTCTTTTGAAAAAATACAGCTTTTGACATAAAATCAAGCAATTCATTCTTTGGGCAATGCATTCAAGAATAAATGACACCATAATGCTGACCTGTCTAG